AAAACACTGGTTGTTTCTAACTCAACTGCAACAGAACCTTGCCAGTAACTTAGCTATTATGTGAACAGGGATTTTCTACTCCCAATTCTGCCACTAACCACCTAGGTGATTCTGGGCAGGTTACTTGGAATTAAGGTTTCTTAGCTTTGCAATGAAGCAGATACTGATGACCCACCTGCGATTATGTAGGGTCAAGGCAGATTGATTAACAGCCTAAGTCTCGAGGGCACATGGTAAAATGGACATGGATGAGGGCAACTCAGAATCTGGAAAAAAGTGAGTGCAGGTTGACATCGGAGTATGTTTACTAAAGGCTGGAGATGGAATTGACTTAGCTGTGCCTGGGCTCTCTCCCTGCAAACCATGCCCACACCAAACTCCAAGGAATGACTATTTCCACGCTGACTTCCTTTTGCCTCTTTGGTCTCTACTCAGCCATCTTTGACTGTGGCCCAGACCTTTCACAGTCATGGAGAGGCCTTCCAAATGTGATGACATCAGCAGAATGTCGCTCATTCTGAGTAGGATGAAGAATTAGCTCAGGCGCTCTCCTTTCTAGCAGCTTCTTGCCTTTGTTCTGTGGTGCCGAGATGTTTCACAACTGAGGCGTGGTCTTCAGCATAGGATTGCTGTTCTGGGCCCCTCCTTTCTTCAAAGAACAGCATTCTTTCAAAGAAGTTGGAACTTGAACTTAAAGGACAAAATCTGTTTTCTTAGAACTTCATTCAGGCCTCTGACCTCAGAGAACTCAATTGTCCAACATGTATGTGAAAGAACTGTTACCATCACTTGTGTTTGTGAGCATTTTGCTTTATAGTTAGACAAAACCACTAATGAAAAGCATGAATTGCCTTTTGGTTGTGCATGGTGTATATAAGGAAGGTGTACCTGAGACCATTTTATCACTGAGATCTCTTATTGAAGAGATTTAACTGTTACCATTGTTTTGTGATATCTGGTGAAGACTAGAAGCACAGTGAGATCGTCTTATTTTTTTCTTTCACATTTTTATTAGTAAATACTTGTAGCACATGATGATTATATTCATTTTGGGGAGCTGGTACATGTACATAACACATCTTTTTTTTCCCCCTTTTTGAGACAGGCTCTTGCTATGCAGTTCAGGCTGACCTTGAGCTCACTCTGTAGCCCAGGCTGGTCTCGAACATGCAACGATCCTCCCGCCTCAGCCTCCCGAGTGCTGGGATTACAGGCATGCACCACCACACCCAGCCATAATACATGTTAATTCTTTTTATATCCCCTCCCTCTCCAGTTCCACTTTGGGTGCCTTTTTCTTTTTCTTGCCTATTGTTCTGTCTACATCCTCAAATCTTGTGTAGAATGTAAGCTTTCAGTCTCACTCTGGATTTTTTATATATGATTTTATTATATTGAGGTAGTTTCCTTCTATTTTTGTGTTATCATATGCTGTGCATTATTATGAAAGTGTTTAATTTTGTTAAATGTTTTTTCTTCAATTGAGAGGATCATGGATTTTTGTCTTGTTTTTTACCTTCAATTTGTTGCAAACCTGGTATTTTGTTTTTGTCTTTTTGAGACAGGATCTTGCTTCCAGCTGGCCTTAAGCTCACTTTGTAGCCTAAGCTGGCCTCAAACTTGCAATGATCTTCCTGCCTCTGCCTCCCAAGTGCTGGGATTACACATATGCGCCACCATGTCTGGCATTGTTTGCTTTTGAGACAGGCAGGGTCTTGCTATGTAGTTCAGCCTGGCCTTGAACTCAGTATGTAGCCCAGGCTGGCTTCCAATTTATGGTGATCCTCCTGCCTCAGCCTCCCAAGTGCTGGGATTACAGGTGTGCACCACCATGCCTGGCTAACCTGATATTTTAATCTGGTATTTTGTATTCATTTTCCTATGTTGAAGCACCCTTGTGTTTCAGGAATAAACATTCCTGCTCAGGGCATGCTATCTTTTTTTCTATTTTTTTCCTTTGTGGTACTGGGGATTTAACCCAGGGCCTTCACAGCGAGCTACATCCCATCCCTGGTTTTTAGCTATTTAATTCTGAGAGAGGGTCTTGCTAAATCACTAAATTGCCAGGTAGAGCTTGAGTTTGCAATCCTTCCAGCCTTAGCCTCTGAGTGCTGGGCTTACAGACATGCACTGGAATGCCTGGCTTTAGCATTTCTTGGAGAGTTCTAATGGCAACACTTCTTTGGCTTTTATTTATTCAGGAATACCTTAACTTCTCCCTCAAAAGTTGAAGGATGATTATTCTGAATGTACGATTGTTTTTATTCTTTACCATCTTGAATATATCAACCCACTGCCTTCTAACTTCCAGATTCTGCAGAGACACACCTGTTGATAACACTGGTGAGGATCCCTTGCATATGATGAGTTACTTCTCTCGTTTTTTTTTTTTTTTTTTTTTTTTTCTTGCGTTCTATGGTGCTAGGGACCTTGTATGTTCTAGGCAACTGCTCTTCTGCTGCGCTACACCTGCTGTTAACATTCTCTTTCTGATGTTGGCCTTTGACATTTTGACAATGAGTTCCGCCATGTACCTGCCTTTGATTTTATGTTACTTGGATTTTATTGAGCTTCCTTCATGTTTATATTCACAGAATTCATCAAACTTGGAAACAGCCATTATCTCAACACATCTCTGTCACTCCAACAATGCATGTATTGGCTTACTTAATGGTGTCCTAAAGTCTCACCGGTCTTGTTCACTTTTCTTTGATCTTTTTTCTTTCTGTGCCTCAGAGTGGATCAAGTCCAATCTCCAAGTTTATTGATTCTTATGGCTACCCAAATATGCTTCTGAATCCCTCTATCAAACTTACTGTACTTTTTCGATATAGTGCCTGTGTAGTTCAGGCTGGCCTTGAGTTCACTATGTAGCCCAGGCTGGATTTGAACTTGCAGTGATCCTCCTGCCTCAGCCTCCACAGTGCTGGGATTACAGGTATGTGCCACCATGCCCAGCTTTACTTACTACACTTTTCAGTTTCAGAATGTTTTCTACATGCTTTGCTTACACCATCATTCAGCTATATGAACATCTTTAAGACAGTGGTTTAGAGTATTTGTCAATTAAGTCTACCATCTGGTCTTTCTCAGAGATGGTTTCTACTGATATATATTTTCTTCCTTTAACGAGGCCATACATTCCTGTTTTTTTCTTTTATATACCTTGTGATTTTTGTTGTTGAAAGCTGAATGTCTGAATTTTATTTATGTAGTATCTGTGGAGAATTATTCTTTCTCAGGATTTGCTCATTTGTTCTTTTAATTCTTATTTTTTTAAACTATTGTAGGGTCTCTGTGCCAAACATTAGTCCAAGATGTAGATGTAGGTCTTTTGGGGTCATTTCCTAGCCTGCACCTTTCTCTGAGCACATGTACTGGCCTTCTGAACCTCCGTAGTGGAGAGGGTACTGAGAATTTTTAGCCTCCATTTCCAGAAGCAAGCTAAGGGATAACTCTTGCAAATGGGTAACCCTCTTCCCCATTTTATAGACGAGGACAAGCCCAGAGGAATGATCATCTCAAAGTATGGACTCCAGATATGGAAAGGATAACACTACATGTCACTTCTCACCTGAGGTACCTCACAAGATTGTCCTCTTAAAAAGTGGTGTGTGAGGAATGGGGATGTAGCTCTGTGGTCAAGAACTTTCCAGCATGTGCAATACCCTAGGAAGGAGCCTAAGACCTAAGAGGAGGACTGGCTGAGAAAGGGAGGTGAGGTTTCAAACGACAGAGGCAGGAGGGTGGGATGTACTGTACAGTAGCCAGGCACTGAGTGGCAGGTGAAAATGCAGAGGAAACACAGGGTTTGACTAAGTATGTCTTCTCAGAAAGAGCGAGCCTGGGGGAAGCACAGTGCCATCACCCTGCACTCTCCACCTTGGGTAGCAGGCAGAGGTGGTATCTGAAGGCATCATTGGTATGTACAGGATGAACCCTCTCAGAAGTATGGCTGGGTGTGAAGTGTTGGGGCACACAAGACAAGGGAAGGACAAGTTCAAACAGTATCTTGGGAGTTTATCAGTAAACAATTTCCAGGCATTGAAAGTGACTGGTCATTTCAGAAAGCACAAACCTATAACCTGCAGCACCCATCATTTCACACACCAGTGAGGTGGACAATGATCCATCCATTAGCCGTGAAATTAGTCTAAAGGAACAAGTATTTAGTACAACACAAAATAAAGTATCAAAATACACTAGGTGATTAGGACTAAGTGCTGTTTCATGAAACGTAAAATTGTTGGGGAAATAGGCTTCTAATTCCCACCTGCTCACATTCTTCCTCTCCATTCACTCAGCTCCTTTCTTAAGGTAGCCTCCTAAGTGACATATTTTCCTATCTAAAACCAAGTCATTCCTCTGCCAATTTCTCCTATTCTTTATAACATTGAACACTATCATGTCCTTTGTAAACGTATTTTGTTTTGTGTTGGTCAAGGGCTGATTGAATAAACTGTAATGCAAGGAAGTTGGGTGTGATGGTGCTTGCCTGTAATCCCAGCACTCAAAAGGTGAAGTAGGAGGACCAAGATTATTCATGATCAGCCTGGGCTAGTGAGTTCAAGGCTGGCCTGGATTACATAGTGAGTGTCTCAAAATACACACATACACACAAACAGTGCATTTTCTCTATATGACTTCTGGCAGGAACAAAAACATGACGCTTGGTGGTTTCACATCAATGCAGGCCAAGACGAGAACACCATCAGTGGTAAATGCCTACTTTGTGATGACAGGTTCTATTCTTAGAAAAATGTTGAAAGCTGCACCTAGGAGACAAGTAATAGCCACAACATGTCTGAGTACATGGTCATAATGCCACATTAAATCAAAAAGGTGCCCTGATCAGATACTGAGCTGTTTCCTTGGAAGAAGGCAGAGCTACTTACTTTATAAACAACAAACTTCACAAAGAGATATCTGAATAATGCAATTTAATAAAATGTCTGCTCCATGCATCTCCCTAAGGACAATGTACTTGGTACAGAGTTTGGTTCCACAGGGAATTTACTTATGACACTACAGAACTATGACAAAGCCATAGCTTTCAGCTAGTGTAATAATTTTATTTCTCATATTCAGCCTTTTACAGAGGAATTAATAGAAATTAAAAATACCATGCTGCTTACTTTACATTTTCTCCACCCAGACTCTCCCTCCACCCTTCTCTGTGCTCACCTGAAATGCATCTGCTTGGGTTCTTCACAGGGAGGCATTAGCAATTTGGTGGACAGTTCTAGTAAGTGACAAAATCTTGATGACAGCAGTTCTCACAGGGCTCTGCTAATGGGTGTTTTCATCTTTGTCCTGAGGACTCAGAACTGGAATGCCTTCCTTCAGACACTATTTTCTATGTGTTTCAATATTCCTTGTTTCTGGCCCACACCACAGTAGTTAATTAAGTCTGCCAGTAAAATCTTTTTAGTTGTTTATTTTTCTTCCTTACTGTATAGACCCTATACAAATATCCATCTCTGTACCAACTTGTGAAAATAAATATCCCTCCCATCACTTTACAGAACATTAACACTTAAAAAGTGTTTCTCTGGATCAGCTGGAATGTCTTCCATTTTAAGTATCAGAAAGTCCTAAGAATAAGTAAGAAACAGTTATCATGGGTAATACAAGGGCCCAGAAGAAAGCAGGTGGAATTGAGCAGCTCAGTGACATCATGTTAGGACCAACTTCTCCCGCCTTGCTCATTGTCCTCTTCAGGGTAGTGTCCAACAAGGCCAGAAACTATTAGCCATGTCACATGAAGACTTGAAAATGTCCAGTGAAGACGGACAATCTTCTGTCTTTCCGATCTCACATCATTACTTTGTAACTGAAATTTTTCCCAGGAAGTACTACAGAGTATCTATCCTAAAATAACTCATTGCTCACATATTCACCTTGGATCTACCCCCCCAGTCATCTAGGGGAAGACGGAAAAAATAGATTAAACAGCTCAGCAAGGAAGCAGCAGGTAGGCAGTGCCTTTTGGAACCCTTACATGTTCCCAGAGAACACAGGAACAGGACAAGGGAGGCAGAGATACAAGATAACACTATCTCCTAAGTGCAAGCACAAATCTCCTGGGCTACACAGAACTAGGGTTACAGACACCATGCCTGAAATGAGCCACAGTGAGATGTCAAGAATTTGAAAGGGGCCAGGCGGGGTGGCACATGCCTGTAATCCTAGCACTCAGGAGGCTGAGGGAGGATCCTTGCGAGTTTGAGACCAGCCTGAGCTAAAATGTGAGCTCAAGGCCAGCATGAACTGCATAGCAAGACCCCTTTCAAAAAGCCAAAAAAAAAAAAAAGAATTTGAAAGGGGCATATCATTACATACCACCACTTTTCATTTGTAGAGTCCAGTATTACTGTTTATAACATGTTAACCTTTGCATAATTATGTAAACACCATTCTTAGTAGTAGTATTTGTATGACTGACCCAGAGACAACTAAAAAGTAGTTTAACTTCTCCACTAAAGTGGAAGTTTGGTACTACTGGCCATATTCAGATACACCAGGAAACAGTCAAAAGTAGGTGGCATGGTTCTTTATTAAAAAAAAAAAAATTTCACCAGTCAACCTATAGAGAGACTGGTAATATTTAGAATTGCACTGGTTGAGAGGTAGTTTAAAACCTCACAAAAACATCTTTTGGCTTTTTTACTGAAAAGGCAGTTCAGTAATAATGGCCACAGTCATTTATTTATTTCAGCAAATAAAAAAGTGGGTATGTGGTTTGTACTTCAAACGTGCCAAGTATCTTTTCATATATACAAATAGGTATGCTTAGCAATATGTGAAAACAGTTCTCCAAGAAAACAAAAACCCTGAAATGTGGAGTTTTCTAATTTCCACAGTGTAAATATTCTGATTAAAGTGAAGTGACCAGCATGTGGTGTTGGGAAGATATATGCAGTAGCACACGGTCATAGAGTAGTCTCACCATGGAGGTACACTAATACCAGTAACCTGAACCACAAAGATAACAGTGAAATGTAGCAAAATTATAAAGAAGTGATAAATATTACCTTTTGAAATATAACTGTAAATTTATACAATTTTAAATAATGACCATGTTTAACAATTAGCTTACAACATTCCTGAAAACCTAACCATCAGTAGTACTTTTAAGTCAGTATGAGGTAACATGAGGGTATCACTGAATGTCTAGGTATGTGTGACAAAATATATTTACATGTATACTATATACAAATCCACATATATGTACATACACACATATAATCCCAAGAACATACGAAGACAATGGTGGGATTTTGGTGGAAAATATTAATCTATTCCATAAGTTACTAAACTAAGGGTTCATGGGCTCCAACATATGAATCAATATACCCCAAATTTTTGTTACATTAGCATACTCATATAACACCTACAAACATCAGGAACTCTTCATATATGTTTAATGTACTGTCGTTCAGTTTTTGTAAGCTACAGATGAATATTGTGAATACTGTGAATATGGGTAAAATGCGTATTGCCATATATATATAGTTTTTGTAACATATCTGGCAGATGACATAAAATAACAAATTTTAGAAGACTTTTACAATATTACTTAAATGAATAGATCTCACTTCAGTACAAATTTTCCAATAAAAAGTTATTTTTCTTGAAAGCTTTCATATATTTAAATGAGATGTCATTTTCTAGCATTTCGTGGCATTCTTTGGCTTTCTCTAATCTCATTTTTAAAACTATACAGTAAATCTCACATGCGTTTGCAGGTTTTTGAATACTCAGGATGTTGGAAGAGCTTTAACCCTTGTGTGAATCCTCTGATGCTTTGTGAGTACTGACCTCTGACTAAAGGTCTTCCCACATGCATTACACTCATACGGCTTCTCCCCTGTGTGAGTTCTCTGATGTTTAGTAAGAGCTGATTTTTCACAGAAGGTCTTCCCACATTCATTACATTTATAGGGTTTCTCCCCCGTGTGAGTTCTTTGATGTACAATGAGGTTTGACTTCACACAAAAGGATTTACCACACTCGTTACATATAAATGGCTTTTCCCCTGTGTGTGTCCTCTGATGGACAGTCAGGGCTGATCTATGGCAGAAGGATTTCCCACATGCACTACACTCATATGGTTTCTCTCCTGTGTGTGTCCTCTGGTGTTCAGTGAGGTTTGACTTCACACAGAATGTTTTCCCACATTGCTTACAGGCGTAAGGTTTCTCTCCTGTATGTGTTCGCTGATGGTTGGTAAGGTGTGGTTTCTGGCAGAAGGCTTTCCCACATTCAGAGCATTCATAGGGCTTCTCTCCTGTGTGTGTTCTCTGATGCTGGGTGAGGTTTGACTTCTCCCAGAAAGTTTTGCCACACTCACCACATTCAAAGGTTTTTTCTCCTGAGTGACCTCTTCGAGACTGGGTTAGATGTGGCTTCTTGCTGAAATTATTCCCATTTTCATGGTATTCAAAAGGTTTGTCCCCTGAGTGTACTGTATGATTTTTAAAGAGGGCTGACTTTTCCCAAGTTTTGTCATTCACTTTATATTCTTGGGGAATCTTTGTTGTGTAAGCTCCCTGATGTGTAATGAAAGGTGAATTGTCACAGATTTCCCCATATTCATTGTATTCATAAGGGCTGTCCTCTGTAAGAGCTCTCTGATGTCCAAATTGTAAGTCCATATAAAAGGCCTTCCCACAGATACTGCATTCATGTGGTTCCATGTCCAAACAAGTTCTCTGAGATATATTGAGCTTTAAGATGTTGAACACTCTTCCACATTCAGTGTATCTACAGAGTGTCTCCCCTATCTGGGACTTCTCATTTGTAAAAAAGGTCATTTGTTCATGGAAGTGTGTTCTGCTTTTGTTATATTCAAAAGGTTCATCAAAAATTGGTTGAGTGAGATCTTGATGACTGAAAACATTCCTTTTTTGATCATATTTATAAGATTTCTCTCTAATAGGAATTTTTTCATGCCTAATATCAAGGAGTAATTTCTCATAGACATTAAACTCATCAGGCTTCTTTCTGGAATAGTTTTTTTTATTAATAATTAAGCCTGAAATATTTTTCAAACTCATTTCACATGAGTCACATATTTTGAAGGGAAAATTTCTTGAAGAAATTGTGTTTGTGTCCAGACTGAAAGTTTTCTGAACTCTGTCACCACTTTCCCCACTTACTGTTTTGTTGCTGGTGAATATAAGGTGCCAAAAATGTTCACCTTGACTTTCCTGGCTGCTCTCTAGTAGGTCAACAGCTTTCCATTTCCTTTCTAGAAATGACAAAAATAACCACATCTTATGAATATTAATGCACTTTTGGTGAAAAATAACTTTATACAACTACCTTTCACCATTGTTAATTACTCTATCAGACTAGGTTTCCAGAAGTGAACTGAACCTATTTCTTTTTCCCTCCAGTTCAAATGGAAAACACAAATGTACTGCTGTGGAAGCAGGAAGCTGAAGCTGGAAAAGACATCCAACATTACATAATCTTCAAAACTGGGTATGAAAAAGGGGAAATCAAATAGAATGACTGATTCAGAAACAGGGACACTTGGAGACAATAAGGTGAACCCAAGACAAAGGGAAGGTGAAGATAAGCAGCACAGGGGTTTCAGAGAATGATTTGTAGTGGGCAGAGAAAGAACAGAGCTAACTCCTGACCCCTTAGGCTTGGAAAATTGGGGCAGACTCCCACCCTAAGCATGCATATTTTCTGTTTTGTACATCAACACCAAACTAAAGTTCTGTAAACATCAACTTCTCCAGGTTCAAAAGAATATTCAGGTATCCCAAGATCTACTTTAAATTTTACTGACAAGGATGATTTTCTAAAATGCTATGGAAAAGCATGCTGGAGAAGGTAAAACGAATTCCAGACATGATCAATAGGAATGAAATTTATATGAAGTTGTTCAATCAAAGAACAGGAAATTCACTGAGAATGGGATGAATTTTTAAAAAAATAAACAGTGCCAAGAAAATAAAACAGGACAAGAATTCACTTTGGCAAAGGTTGAACATGGCTTATATCCTTCTCTGCTTACAGTCTAATTACTGTAGCAGGAGCCTCACTACTACTATGCATGTCTACTTCTATACCTAGATATTTTAAGTCTGCCTTTATCTCTAGGCTTTTATTTTTATATCTAAGTTTTCTGATTTAAAATCTGGCCTCATCTGTGGATTTTATTTACATTTGGGCCCTGTAAGAGCCATTTATCTGTATAGGTACTAAGATGTTCAGTATACTTTATCACAAAAATTCTTGGTTATACTTCACTGTTGATATCCAAGCAACATTAATCACATCTGCTGGGCATGGTGGCACAGACCTATAATTCCAGCTACTGGTGAGGCTGAAGCATGAGGATTCCAAGTTTGAGGGCAGCTTGGCAACTTAGCCAAGACTGAAAACAAAACAGGACAGGGAATATAGCTTAATGGCAGAGTTAAGTGTAAAGCCGTGCGTTCAGGACTCAGTAACAAACACAAAACTAACGCAGGGCATCCCTGAGTCTACTGCTCCAATGACCAACAGGTAGAAGTTGTCATCCTGGCAAAAACAAACAAACAAAAACTACTTTATACCAATTGATTCACATTAAAGTGTTCAATATTCCATAAATCCATTCTAAATATCTATACAGCTATAGGTAGTTATCGAAGTCTTGTACATTTCTTATTAACAACATACCTTTCACTCAACTAGACGCATTCTACCCTTGGTTCTCCTGGGAACATGGATCCCCTTAGTGAAATGCTACTTTCTTGAATTAAAAAACCACCACTGATAATAGTAAAATAATAGAAGGCAAAAATATAATAACCCTATTATTTTAAGACTCCATGTGTTCTATCCTTTAGTAGTTACTCTCCACGTAACTCACTCTAACATAAAATAATGCTTGCTGTATGCCAAGCCTCTGGGAGACCACAATCTATGTTCTGGTACATGTGACTAGTCCCACTTCCCTGCTCCTTCTGAGGTGGAAATACAGAAATGATTCTTAAAAAGCAATGTATATTGGATTATTTCCAACCTTACATAATGAGTTGTAACATCAAGACAAAACAGGGGAATGTGCATTTAGGAAGGGTACTACAGAATATGTTTTGAATGGATGAAAGAGACTTTCTCCTAAATTTGGCTCCATAGGCAATCAACACTCTACCTAAATGTCAGAATTAGGAAAAGAGTGCTCCTTCTTTTTGGAAGAATGAAATCTGAGTAGGGAAACAAACTTGAAGCAACAGCTATATGATCATCAGAATTTGGGGCTTACACCCACCAGTGAGTTACAGACATAAAATAGGGACTATTAATAGTAAAATATTGCTGTAACTTAAAACAATTAAAATAACAAGCCATGCAGGGTGTGGCGTGAACTCCTGTAATCCCAGCACTCAGGAACCTGAGGCATGAGGATTGCTGCAAGTTTGAGCCTAGCCTGGCCTATAAAGTGAGTTCAAGGCCAGCTAAACTGCATAGTGAGACTCTGTCTCAAAAACACAAAAACAAACAAAAAACCAAGCCACTATTATGCCTGCCTTTGGGGTGTAGGACTGCACCTCACCCCTCTTTCATTATAGCTGGGAAGATGGTGCCAGCCAAGTAGAATTTGAGTCTGCGCTCTGTGCTTCCTCCATTGCCTCAGAAAGAGGGGGCCTGGCTGTGGGGTGTGAGTCTGCACTCTGCCCTTCCTCCATTGTCCCTGAGATAGTGGTGCCAGTGACTAGAATGTAAGTCTGAGCTCTGGGCATTACCCATTGCCTCACAGTGCTGGTGTGTGGAGCGTAAATCCACATTCCACCCTTCCTCCACTGTCCCCAGGACAGCGGTGCTAGCAAGTGCAGTGCAGATTTGCACTCTTGTGCTTCCTCCATTGCTTCAGGACAGTGTCTGTGCTTCCTCCACTGCCCTGGGAAAGCTTGCCAGTGAAAGGTGAATACAGTGGTACTGGTGAGAAGAGTACAGCGTGCTAATAAGAAGAGTACAGTGGTGCCGGCGACAAAGAGTACAGCAGTGCCAGTGAGAGAAGTGAGCTCAAAAAAACAACCTAATATGGAACGTCAAACCTCTAGAAAAAGAACAAATCAAACCCAAAGCTTGTATGAGAGAGGAAATTATAAAGAGCAGAAATTAATGCAACGGAGACTATGAAAACAATACAAAGAATTAACTGAAAAGTTGGCTCTTAGGAAGAATAAATAAAATTGATAAACCATTAGCCAACCTCATCAAAAAAAGGAAAGAAAACACAAAGCCATCGGGAATAAAAAGGGGGAAATCACAACAGACCTCACAGAAATCCAGGAGACCCTCAATACCTACTATAAGAACCTATATTCTAATAAGATGGAAAACACAGAAGAAATGGACAGATTCCCAGATACAATCAAACATGACAAAACTAAATCAAGAAGATATAAAAATGCTAAATAAACCAATATCAGCCAATGAAATTGAAAATGTTATTAAAAATTTATGAACAAAGAAAAGCCCAGGCCCTGACACATTCGCTGCTGAATTCTACAAGAAATTTAGAGAAGAACTAATGCCACTAATGCTGAAACTCTTTAAAGAAATTGAAAGGGAAGCAATACTTGCAGAATCATTCCTGGAAGCAAGTATTACCCTGATTCCAAACCCAGAGGAGAACACAACTGAGAAAGAAAACTACAGGCTAATCTCCCTAAGAAACATTGATGAAAATATCCATAATAAGAGTTTGGCAAACAGAATGCTACATATCATCAAGAAGATTATACATCAAGACCAAGTAGGATTCATACCAGGGATGGAAGGATGGTTAGACATATGCAAATCAATAACTGCAATGCCAGGCATGGTGGCGTACACCTGTAATCCCAGCACTCGGGAGGCTGAGGCAGGAGGATTGTTGGGAGTTCAAGACCAGCCCGGGCTACAAAGTAAGCTCAAGGCCAGCCTGAAGTGCACAGGGAGACCCTGTCTCAGAAAGACAAAAAAAAAAAAAACCCACAAAAAACTGCAATACACCTTATTAACAGAACCACAGACAAAAATCACATGATCATGTCAATAGATACAGGAAAAGCATTTGACAAAGTCCAACACCCATTTATGATTAAAAAAAAAAACACCTCTACCTCAATCTTATAAAAGCCATCTATGACAAACCAATAACTAATGTCATATTAAATGGTCAGAAACCAAAAAGCTTTCACTCTAAAATCAGGAACAAGACAAGGATGTTCACTATCACCACTCTTATTCAATACAGTTCTGGAAACATTAGCCAGAGCAATTAGACAAGAGGAAAAAATAAAAGGAATAAAGATAGGAAAGGAAGAAATTAAATTATCATTATTTGCAGATGATATGATAATCTACATAGAAGACCCCAAAAACTTGACAAAAAAACTTGTAGATTTAATATCCCAATTCAGTAGTGTAGTGGGATACAAAATCAACAATCAAAAGTCAATAGCATTCCTGTATACAAACAACAAACTCACAGGGACAAATTAGGGAAAGCATACTCTTCATGATAACATCCAAAAAAGAAATACTTAGGAATCCATCTAACAAAGGATGTAAAAGATTTATACAATGAAAATTACAGTACTCTAAAAAAGGAGGCTGAAGAGGGTATGAGAAAATGGAAAGATATCCTTTGCTTTTGGATAGGAAGAACCAATACAGTGAAAATAGCCATACTCCCAAAACTACTATAGATTTAATGCAACCACAATAAGAACACCATTAACATACTTCACAGAACTAGAGAAAACATTCCTAAAATTCATTTGGAACCAGAAAGACTCAGAATAGCAAAAGCAATTCTGGGAAACAAAGGCAAGTCAGAGGGCATCACAATCCCAGATCTGGAATTATACTACAAAGCTACTGTGATAAAATCAGCATGGTACCAGCAAAAAAAACAGACCTGAGGATCACTGGAACAGAACAGAAGATGCAGATACAACCCCAACCACATTCAGCCATCTTATCTTTGAGAAAGAAGGCAAACATGTTCACTGGAAGAAAGACAGTCTCTTTAATAAATGGTGCTGGAAAAACTAGCTGTCCACATGCTGAAGACTAAAACTAGACCCATGTCTATCATCACCATGCACTAAACTAAAGTCAAAATGGATCAAAGAACTAAACATTAAAATAGAAACACTACATTTACTGGAAGAGGAAACAGAAATCTCAAAGAGGATCTCAAATGGGATCTCATCTTATTAAAAAGCTTTTGCACAACGAAAGAAATCTCCAACAGAGTGAAAAGACAACTGACAGAATGGGAAAAAAATTATAACCAGCTGTCCCACAAAGGACTTATATCTAGAATATATAAAGAATTGAAAAAAAATCAGACTCCCCAAATTCAAAGACCCAATCTAAAAATGGGCATCTGGAATGAATACATACTTTTCAGATGAAGAAATACAAATGACAAGTACATGAGAAAATGTTCAACATCACTGGTCACTCGAGAGATGCAAGTTAAAACAACACTGGGATTCCATCTCACCCCAGCAAGAATGGCAATCATCAAAAATCAACTGATAACAAATGCTGGAAGGGCTGTGGGGAGAAAAGAACTCTTCTCCACTGCTGGTGGGAAAGCAGGATGGTGCAATCACTATAGAAATCAGTGTGAAGATTCCTTAAGAAACGGGGATTAGAGGTCCCATTTGAACCAGCTATTCCCCTTTGGGGTATCTTCCCAGAAAAATTAAAAACATCATACCAGTGATATATGTGCACCCATGTTTACAGCAGCACCATTCGTAATAGCTAAATCTTGGAAAACAACCTAGTTGCCATCAACAGAGGAACGGATAAAAAAAGATGTGCTTTTTTTATATGATGGAATATTACTCAGGCATAAAGAAAGACAAACTACAGACTTGTATAGGTAAATGGATGCAGTTTGAGACCATACTCCTAAGTGAAATAAATCAGACCCATATGTGTAAACACTGTATTGTCTGACCAGTGTGAGAAACTGAGAAAGAAAACAGGATTTGAGATATACAATAGACATTGTGAACTGGGAAAAAAACTGTGCAAAGAGAAGATGAACTGTGATGGTGGAAAGGGGAAAGGAAGAAAGGGAAAAAGAAAAAAAAGTATGTATACACAAGGTAGTTAAGATAGTTTTACAGCTAGCTTGTCTTAGTTCCTTGAAAACAATGCTTTGTGCTAATATTGTTTAGACAAGACATCATGCCTATATCTTGCACTCTGATTAACTAATATGAAGACAACAATATGCAATGTATCAACTATTGTAACTGTCCTACTAGATTTGAAACTCGGTTTCATTATCTTTTTCTCTTTAAAAAGAAACGCAAAATAAATAAGCTTTAGGTAAGTGAAAGCATGTGTAAACACAATTTAAGATACAGGATAATATGAAGTGAGTATAAATTATACAGTAGAAAAAAGTAAATGTAAAAGGTAGAACAGAACCACATTACAACAGTCAATGAAAGAAGGCTTTAATTTACTTATTTCTATAGGTAACTGTCAGGTTAGTGAAAGATATGTTGAATGCTTTGAGTAAAAATAAACAAGAAAGAACTAATTAGGAATTACAGCTAATCAGGAATGAAGGAACACAGATGCATCTCTGCTTTTGAGCACTGTCTATGAAAAGAGAGAATATGAAGAGATGTGGGCAGTTTTGAAATAAAAATAATAGTATTATGAGGCTAGTAAGAGGTAACAGCATGTTTGTATACAGAACACAAAAGCCATCTGACTCCTGGGAAATGGGATCACTGGCTTCTGTACAGCTCAAATTGTTTCTTCTCAATCTCTTCTGCTGGATGGATTTACTCCCTGTGAAAAGTAGGACTGTCCCAGGACTATCTTCACCTATTCACAACCAGGTTCTAGAAAAGGGTGACGAACTATGAAATGGCCCTGCCACTAAGACTCTTTCACATTTTTAACGGGAAAGGGTGGAACAGGCAGTAGCGGGGTAGTAGGAAGAAGAGAATAGGGAGGAAGAGGGGGAAAAAATAAGTAAGAGGAAGATCCATAGCAGCAAGGACCACATGCAGCCAAGAGACCTAACACCTTTATTATCTGGTCTTTTTGTTGTTGCTGTTCTTTTTTGTAGTACTGCAAATTGAACTCAGGGTCTCACATCTATTACTCTAGCACTGAGCTACATCCCCAGCCCTTTCTGGTTTTTAGGAAGAGTCTCACAAAGTTGCCAAGGGTATCCTTCCACTTATGATCTTCCTGCTTCAGCCTGCTGAATTGCTAGGACCACAGGTGTGCCGCCTTGTCTGGTTACTATCTGGCCTTTTACAAAATCTAATCCGTTATCTTTAACACCCTCTGACGTTGGAGCCTTTCAGAGGGATATGCCTTATTCTAACCTCAGCCACAAGCTCCATATTTAAACATTTCTAACTTCCTAATCAATACAAGACTAGATTCTAGCAGTTACTCCCAACTTCTGTCCAATATTAAACCTGTCATAACTCCTATCATGTCTCCTCCATAAGTTTCTCTATCTCAGAAATGACACCTAATTTATCCAACTGCTTGACACAAATCATTGCAATATTCCTGTCTCCTTTTGTCCCTTATATTCTTTCCTCATGGCCCAATATTTAGGTATCTGTACAAACCTGTACCTTATCAGAATCTCTGGCAGTCAGAGTTGATACCGCTCTCCTAACTCCTGTTCTTTCCTTGTCCAGGTTCACCCACCACAGCACAGTCACTACAGAGAAGTCCTTTTAAACTGTAAATTAGATATGATGACTGAACCTGATCTATATATGTGTGTGTGTGTACAAGGAGCATTCCTCATCATATCCCTCAAACACAAACTACTGTGTCTACCATGGCCCATGCTGCTGCTACTTCCATCACCACCTATCAGCCTCCCCTGTGTGCAGTAACTTCCAGCCATACTCATCTCCCTAACACTGCTCAAACAGTCCAAGAACACACCTGTCTGAGAGATCCATCCCTCAATGTGTTTTCTTCCTGGCATACTCTTGATCCACACAGCTCACACTCACTTTGTCAAAGGTTTGTGGCTAATGTGGATCTCATAAAAAAGTCTTCTCTGACTCCACAGCCAAAGGGCATTCCCTCATGTGCTTACTTTATTTCCTTATATGAATTCTTCACAGTACCTTCCATCACCTAAGAGTGCATCTGCACATATACATGGGCACATATACATAAATATTTACAATATATGCCTGTATTTGTTGCTGACAGTAATATACATTCTATGAGATCAGGGACATTATTTATTACCTAAAGTGTATCTGGGCCATTGTAAATATTCATCACATGTATTTGTTAAGTGGATTTATGGAAGAAGTGCATGAATATATTGTGTATGTACCAGCTAATAGAAGGTATTCTAAGAAAAGAGAGAAGGTGAACAATTTTAAAAGATAAAATCTAACCAAGAAAAATATCCAAGATAAGGCCAAATGATTTTAGATTATGGGTAAAAGTAAGTCACTCTAAAGTGTCAAAAAAGAAAGAAAAGCATTTATGAATGACAGTGACACATAGAGGAGCATCTAAGGTAACAGGACAGCAGAGCATAGTGGTACATGCCTGTAATCCCAGCACTTTGGGAGCCTGAGGCAGAAAGACTGCAAGTCAGAGTTGGCCTGAGCAATTTAGCAACTCAAGACGCTTTCACAAAAAAAAAAAAAAAAAAAAAAAAGGTTATGTGTGTGTGTGGGGATAATTCAGTGTTCAATCCCCAGTACTAGAGGGAAAAAAGCTAACAGGATGCAGGCCACGTGTCTTTGGTCATTTCCAAAGGTCTTTGGCTAAAAACTTAAGTTTCTGAAAAATATTCCCAAGGTGGCAAAACCCTAAGCCAAAGACGTAAGACTAATTTCCTCTTGGTTTTCACTACCTGTGGCCCCAGTAACTCACCTGGGTTACAGTGGCTTGGGAATCCCTTCTCCAATACCCAGGGCTCCTCTCCTTGCTCTATCTTGAAGATCACTTCTGGCTTAGCAATGCAATACCCTAGCAAGAGAAAATAACAAGGGTGGGGTAAACAGCTCACCTTTGCAGACACTGAAAAACTTAAGAGAAAGAAAAGTACACTTTCAAGAGCTGCTCAAAGAAGGTACCCAAATGAACCAATCCCTCAGGACATAACAACACATTCTTTTTAACAACAACGGATAGTTATCTCAGAGCTTTGAATCCCAAGCTTTAAATCACGAACGTTCAGGGCTTTCATGTTCAAGAACTAAAAATGGGGGGCTGGGGATTTAGCTCAGCAGCAAAGCGCCTGCCTGGCAAGCACAAGGTCGTGAGTTCGGTTCCCGGTACCGGAGAAAAACCAAAAAAAAAAAAAAAAAAAAAAACCTAAAAATGCACGTGATTATTAGCCACATGAGAAAAAAATTCTTACCTACTGAGACAAGGTTGCTGTAATTTTCCAGGATCACATCCCTGTACAGTATCTTCTGAGTGGGGTCCAGCAGACACCACTCTTCCTTAGTGAAGTCCACACATACATCCCTAAATGACACTTGTTCCTGAAAGAGAATGTCCCTTTTCTATGTGAAATGGTCAGAATTAGATATAGAAAAGATTCAACAGAACTAACATCTCCAGAGCTTATGGAAAAATGACAAATAGGATAGTTCTTTTTGTGCTACAGTACACAAAATATCTTATACAAATTGAATTTCTATTAAGGGTATGGGTTTATCATAGTTGCTACAAGCACTACTAAAGCAAATGAAAGGCAAGGTTTTGAAGTGCTTATGGCCTGATCAGGACACACTTGTGTACATTTAGTAAGAGCACTACAGGAGCTAGAAGTGTATACACAGCAGGTTGGAGTTATGAAGAACAGTATCTTTCACATTATCAGGTAACTTTCACCAGGAAGTAAAACTTGCAGTCATTAAGTAATTGGATTGAAATGAACATAGTACAGGACCCGACCAAGAGAAACTCATGACTGATTAAAGAGACCAGAGAAAAAGATGAATCTTCTCTGCTTGAAGAGATCATCTTCTGGGGTCACTATGGATTTTTTTGTTTCTTTGTTTTTAAACACAGTATCAGGTAGGCATGATGGCGTATGCCTATGATCCCAGCACTTGGGAGGCTGTGAAAGGATTGTCATGAGTTCAAAGCCACCGTAGACTACATAGCAAGACCCTGTTGCAAAACAAAATAAAACACCCAAAAACACAGTATTTGCCATCCAGTAAAAAATTTCATGGTATACGAAACAGGAACCAAGAACAAAGACAATAAAAGCAGAGCCATGGATGACTCAAGCACTAGAATTTACAAGAACTTGAAAGTGAATTATGATTAATATATTCAATAAAATAGACAAAAACATGAACAAAATAATGATGGAAGAAGTTCACCAGTTATATGGTATTTGCGCTATGTACGTAGCAGGTCAGAGATCTCTGCAAGGTCTGCTGCAGGGTCCCTGCTGTCAGGTGGGGGTATGGATTTCAGAAGGATGCTCACCATGTCACTCCCTGGTAAGAACAATCCACCACACCTGAGCTGTTTGTACAAAAAGTTTGGTTACACTGAGCATGTGTATTCCAGGAGTCTAGAATTTCCGTATATACTAGGAAGACAGTACCTATGCAACTATCCCTCGATAAAAACTTTGGGCAACAAGTGACCAAGCTTTCCTGACACACACCTCACATGGGTTGTCATATCATTACCGGAGGACTTAAGCATGTTCTGCAAGAATCCACAGGGAGAAGACTTAGTATCTTCCTGACTTTGCTTTGTATCTTTTCACTCTAAATGTGACCATCTGCTGAATTACCCTAGGGAGTCACTGAACCTGGGGTGATCTCAGGAACCTCTTACATAGGTAAATACATACACACACACACACAATCGGCACAGTAAAATTTCAAAATACAGTATCTGAAATTAGGGCTCACTAGATGGATTCAAAATCATATTAGAGAAAGAAGATGCAAACTGAAGCCACATGCATCTAACACAAAAAGACTACCAAAATACATAAGGCAAAAATTGAAAGAAAGGAAAGAACTTGTGATAATGCATGCCTGTAATCTCACCACACAGGAGGATCACAAGTTTGAGCACAGCATGGGTAACTTAGCGAGACCTTATATCCAAATAAAAATAAAGGGCTGAGGATATAGCTAGTGTGAAGGCCCTGGATGCAATCCTCAATATTGAGGGAAAAAAGTTTTTTAAAATAAAAGAGTATCAAATGATACAGTATCTTTGGAACAGCTGAGCAACTGTGTACAAAGCTAAATTGTAAGTCTTACCATATAATCCACCAATTTTACACTCTAGTATCTACTCATTTTAAAACTTAGATCTGTACCAAAACCTGCATGTGAAAGTTTACAACAGCTTAATTTACAATCAAGAAATAGGAGCCAGGGACATAGCTCAGAAGTAGAGTGCTTGTTCACCACACATAAAGCCATGGATTCAATCCTTTGAGCCACAAAAAAAGGGAAAACTACACACACACACACACACACACACACACACATACACACACATACACACACACACACAATCAACAAACACTGGAAGGAACCAAGAGCCCTAAGGCTAACAACTCAGACCTCACTTACACATATATACCAGAAACGAACAATTAAGTAAAAATAAGGTGGACATTGGTAGCCAAATTTCTGTCAGAGTGGGAAGTTACACGCAAGCAAAAGGAGAAGGCTAGAAAGCACCATTTTGTAAAGGGTTAGAGCAGAAGACACCAGAATAAAATAATGCCAGAAGGACATACAGAATATATGAAGAAAATAATGGCTGAGAATGTCCCCAAACTTATAAAAGACATCACACCTCAAAATCAAAACCCCTCAGAAATATAGGATAAATATGTAGCAAGAAAACCAAACCAAGCAGTACCAAGTATCAACTCCTAGAAACCAAAAAAAGAGAAAATCTCATAAGCAGCCTGTGGGAGAGCACCAAGCTTTGCTCTCCTGAGTAATGAAGCCCCTTGGCTCCATCTTTCCCTGACTGTTACTTCAGCTCTATTCACTGAGATATACACATCTGCCTATACAGAAGCAGATGTTCCCTTAATTGGCTAATATAAAATGATTGTCTGGCCAAGACACCAAGGTGTCTCAACTTGGACAAGATATGCTCACCCTGCTGATGGCTGGAATGGGAGCTTGAGCAAGAGCCTGTGAGATTTCAGGACAAAGACATGAGATAACATCTCAGATGAGGCCATGGGACTTAGAATTATACCTTTCTGGCATTGAAGGTGCCAGCTTTGCACACATCAAGCTATCCATTATATTGCTAACTGAGGCCTCTGAGCCTGGTACAAAATTGCTGTTTCTCTTTACAGCCAGTGTCTACAAAGTTTCTTTTCCCTAGCACTCTGCCATGACAACCACCTACTCTCTGATTGATACCAATAAAAGCCATGAGGTTTTGGTGGTCCTTTATTTCATAGAAAGCATTGGGTCATCCCAGAGCTCCTCAACTGCAGAATATTCTTTTTTTTTTTTTGCATCCATGTGTCATATTGCTGAGCGGGAGACCTAAACCCACCACAGGGGTTTTGGTAGCAGCCAAAGGAAAAAATATCAATTGCCTTCAAGGAGAAGGTTTAAAATTGAATTCTCAAAATAAAACAACAAAGACTCAGAAGACATTGGGATGGTATCTTTAAAGTACTAAAGGAGAAAAGAAAAAAAATTCCAATCTAGAATTTTGTATTTAGAGAAAATATCCCTTCAAAAATAAAGATACAGACATCTTCAAACAAAAAAATGCTGAAAAAATTTCTCACTGTAAGACTGAAACATGAAGAAATAGTAAAAGAGAAGTTTTTTGGAATAAAGAAATGGTCAAAGAGGAAGCATAAAACAGCTGGAAGACAGGACAAACACAGGAGATGGCAATACTTAAGCAATTACAAACTCCACTGACTGTCTAAAGTCAAATTACTAAAGATGTTTCCTATGGTTTAAAATACAGAAAAAGCAAAAATGGTACAGCACACAGGATAAGGAGTGTTGTGTAGAATGATATTGTAACATTTCAACTGTGAAGTTCTTGCATATTAAGGTAAACTCTAAATGAATTAAAAATAAAATGCACAAAGGCACTAGGATATACATAAGCAAGTAATTTATCATCATGAAGTAAGAAAGACTTTCTAATTATGTCTCCAAATGCTATAAAAGTTAAACCCATAGAAGACTGGTATACAAGAAAGTAACGGTTTGTAACGCATATAATAAACAAGTACTATCCCTAATGTATAAAAGATAAGCAGAGATAGAGTGGGGCAGAAACCTAAAGGAAAATGGGTGAAACATATTAGCAGAGTTCACAGAAAAACACATGACACTTTTAGACACATGAAGTTAATCAACTTCATTCAAAGTAGAAAAAAACAGCAGATGCAAACCATATAAAATACCACTTTTTACCTAGCTGTTTCCCAAAACTCAAAAGTTGAACCACATATCTGTGGTAAAAGCTATGGAAAAACAAACATGCTCATGTACTGCCAACAAGAACACAAAATGATACTGTCTCTGACATTAAAGCCATTAAAATTCATCTGATAAACCTATCCAGCACAATCATGAATATACAGAACATGAATAATTTGGTGTGTGTGTGTGTGTGTGTGTGTGTGTGTGTACATGGTCGTTCATTCTAACAGGGTTTGCAACAGCAAAAAAGTGGGATATAATTTAACTCAGACACCTACATTGAATTATCACACAGTTTTAACAAAGAAAGATCCATTTTCTATCACAGAAACCTCTGGGACATACTGTTAAGTTGAAAAAAGAATAGAAAACAATGTATGGGATTCATGATCCCTTGAGCAGATCTGACTTCATCTGGGAGCTTACTAGAAACTAAGAGTCCAGGGCTCCATCTACATTAAATCAGAATCTGCAAGTTAAGACAATGCCAGGATGCATAGATGCATCTAAATTGAGAAGCATAAGGATAACTGAATCCTTCTTAAATAAAGGGGATATGTAAGAATACTCCCTCATTTATTTATTTATTTATTTACTGGGGTTTTTTTTTTTGCTATGTGGTGCAGGCTGGCCTCAAAAACACAGCAATCCTCCTGCCTCAACTTCGTGTGTGCTGGGATTACAGGCATGCACCACCATGGCCAGCACACACCCATATTTAAATTTGATAGACACTGGAAGGACAAAAACTATTAAAAGCTGGGTATTTGGAGTGACCATACACTGCCCTTTGGGGCTGTCCCAATATCTGCCTCCTGTTGCAGCATAATAACTCTTAAAAAGCTCTTTCACAGTCAGTGAAAATATCTCTGGAGGATTAATATCAACCAACCCAGAGGGATAAGCAGGAATGGAGAGAAAGGGAGTACAAACTTTTGCATCTTCTGTATTACTTTTTCCAACCTAGTCTGTAGAGGATTTTTAAAAATATAACCATCTGCTTTCTTAAACATGTTAATACAGTATATTAATAATTCAAAAACATTTTAATAATAAAAAAACACATGAAACCAGTCAATAAAATGAAGTATAGTGGACCAAGAATGGAAACCCCTACAAACAATGTGGCAAAAGTCTTCTTCATGAGGGCTGGGCAGAAAATCAGAGCTGGGAACAGATCTCAGAGCCCCATGTCACACAGAGATTTTCAAAACAAAGACCATGGTCCGTACTATTAAATGCTGCTGAATGAAGGAGTAAAGTAAAAAAAATCCACTGGCCTTGATCATGATTTGGTGACCTTTTGTAGAACTGATTCAGGTGAGTGCAGGGGATGAGATAAGGCTGTATTTACTAAGTTGAAATGTAGAAACATAAGCCAGAACTGCCTGCAATTCTACCTAGAAACACAAACTCGCAGGAGTGTTCTGAAGACTTATAGTCCCTTCATTCCCCTCCATCTTCCAGGTTTTATTCCTGGGTCAAGCAGTACCATCACAGAACAGGCTATTCAAACCTCACAGCTTCATCTCCTCTGGCACTATGTTTCTACCCAGCAATGACTATAGATGATATACTGCATTTATTTCAGGGTTGTTATTAGGAAGACCAGAAAAAATTTTACAATAACCTGGATAATCCTGTAAAATTAAAAATCCTGAATCTAATTTGCCAAACATTTTTTACTTTGAATTTGTTGCTCTAGTTCTATTTCCCTTAATATAAACTTTTTGTTTTGTATTGGTTTCATGTCTCCTTTTATTTAGTGTATACTGGCTATCTGGATTCATGTTTCATTTTGGCAATTTGTACATGTACATAACATATTTTGATCATTTTCACTCCTCCACCCTGTCATCCCCTTGGCCCACAGTACCCACTAGTTTCACATCTTGGGAAGTTCAATGATATATTTTGATCACATCCACCTTCCCATTTACCTATCCTTGCATTTCTCTCCCCTTGACTCCCGTCCTCTTGTCTATTAATAATTGCCCTTCTACTTGCATCTTTTTTGTTTTTTGAGGCAGGGTCTCACTATGTAACCCAGGCTGATCTCAAACTCCCAGCAATCCTCCTCTCTCAGCCTCCCAAGTGCTGGCATTACAGCTGTACACCACCACACCTGTTTGAGATTCCAGTATTAGGGAGAATGTTTGATATTTGCCTTTGAGTCTGGCTTATTTTGTTCAACATGGTGCTCTCCAAATCTATATATTTTCCTGCAAATGACAAAATTTTGTTTTTTATGTTTGAGTCATATTCCACTCTGTATATATACATTTTCTCTGTCCATTCATCTGGTGTTGAACGCCTAGACTTAGCTGATGTAAACTCTGCCTATTTTTTTCTCCCCAAGTTAAAAAAAAAAATACCAATCCTTACCAAGTGCAAGTAAACAACTTACCTGTGATTTGCTCATTTTCCGCTCTTAGTGGAGGAGGGAGAGCTGGGAGAGAAGGAAGGACGGATGTCAGGACAGACATGGCCTGCCTTGGAGCTCCTGGATTCACCTGCCTACACAACTCCACACACAAGATACTTACGTGTCCATGTTGGCTCCAATATATGTTGAGCTTAGACATGATATTTTTCACTGAGTGAATGTAAACATTTGTTTCTTACTGATTTATAAGCAATTTAGGTTCTGTGACACAAAAAATTAAAAACAGAGATGAGTTTAACAAATAACAGTATTCTACACGAGCAAATACTGTGGATTTGTCAAAACTGCTGTAGTAAGGGAGAAAGACAAAAACTCAGGCCATATTATCTATTTTTGCGCTAACACCATTAATCCCTTGAGGTCTGCTACTCCAAGAAACCTCCGTAAAAAGGGATGGGGGTGTTTAAGACAAGATCAAGTTTATTAAATGTTTGTCTGAACTTGTTCGCAGTTTCTCAAAATGTTCTCTTAATCAGGTTAACTTTGATCAAGTCTCCTAATCTGCGCGATGCGAACCAGGGACCTCCTTCTGCCCAATGTTTTCATCTAGATAGGAGCAGCCGGACGAGGCAGAGGGGCCTGCGCCCTCTCCCGGGAGGACCGGACAGAGCCCCAGGGCCCGGGCCCGGCTCACCTCGCTCCTCGCGGGCTTCGCAGCGGTGTCACCGCAATACGCAGCGAGCGGCGAGCGCGGGGCCGGCACCAGCCCCTCACGGACGCCGTGGCCACGGCCCCGGGAACCAGTCCGAGCGCCGGCGGCCTGCCTGGAGCCCACCCAGAGCTTCGCGCACACGGGAGACGCAGCCGCCGTCTAAGGAGCGAGCGCATTCAGGACTACCCGGGGCGGCGAGCGCGCCTAAAGGCCGCATGGTACAGCAACACCCGGACTCTGACGGGCCACAGGTACCAGGTATCCCATTCACACCCAGCCACGCCGCCCGCAGCCCCACCCCCTCGCGGTCGCCCGAGGCGCGCGCATAACGTCACGCGCACGTCACGCACGGCGCGCTACCTCCCCGCCAGACCGCCGCGCCTCGGGTCCCGCGCACGCGCACTCCCCACAAGCGGCCGTACGACAGCGCCATGGCTCTGCAGGGCTGGGCGCGCGCGGACTCCCGAGCTCGGCAATTGGCGTCCACGCGCCGACCCGAGGCTGCCCCGGCAGGGCTCGGCCTGAGGCCGTTCCAGGCTCTGTAGGCGCCCGCTTCTCCCCGCGGGCCCACCCCTCTGCTGTGCCCCAGCCATCCCCAGCCCGTGCCCGAAGGCCCTGGCCCTAGACCGCCCGGCTCACCCGGCGCTCCCTCACAGCGCGGACCCAGAGGCTGGGCGTGTTTTCCCACGGGGGACCCGGGCCGCAGCAGACGAGCGGGGAGGCCAGTGCGCATGCGCAGAGGGGCGGAGGTCGCGGCGGCAGGGAGCTCCGCGCGGGCGCGGGGTTCCCGGGCGTGCACGGAAGCGCCGCGCGCAGGCACAAGACTCAGACCCTCCCCTTTGTGCCCTGGAGACCCCGGGTAGGGGCTACCTGCTTGGCTTAAAGAGCTGCAGCTTTGGTTGGTCACGCCTGCACCTAAAAGCAGGCGACTAGCTGGGCTGAGAAAGCCGCAGAGGTGCTGAGTTCATTGCTAACGTGGAGTATGTGTTCACCTCACGTACCACGAAGTGGGTTCACCCAGAATAACATCTGCGACAAGCATGGTTTTTCTTTAGAACCAGGAAAAAGACAAGTTAGCAATGTAGTGTTTAATAGGAAAGGAATAGCCAGCGGTGGCTGGGCAGTTTAGCGAGACTCTGTTTCAGAATAATAAAGGAAAACGTGTATTAAAAAGCTCTCAAAAACCTCATCTCTGGCAACTAACTGTACTTTACCTAGGACGTTCTTTTATGTGCACATCCTTTTTATATGCACATTATTTCTAACAATAATGATTTACACCTTAGTTGAAACTAGGTTATTTTTGTGGAATTGCCCCTTGTTCCTCCCCACTTTGCCCAGTGTTGTAACTCCTAAAAGATTTTTAAAAGTACTAAACTTTAAATGGCTGTGATCTTGACTACTGCGGTGAAGTACTCCAGGGAAAAGGAGAGAAAGTAAAAAAACACTGGTTCCCCCAACCTAGTCAGTAATCTTTCATTAGTATTTAGGACTTAGAACACGTGGTGATCTTCAAATAACATTGAAGTGTGTGCTAAGGACTTGCTAACGTTCTCCAATTAAAGGAAGAATAATGTTTAATGTGCGCCAAAATCCAAAGACTCGCAGGAGGGGCGGGAGGAGACAAGATCTTTTGAGTTGGAACCGAAGAGAAAACATTGGGCGAATGACAAAGACCGCGAGAAAACGATGGCGAGAAAACTACTCAGCTGCACTTGGCCTCTGTGTTGACTAATCCACTGCCTTCGCTCCTCCTAAAACCTTTGCTGTTACAGAATTATTTGAGATCACCATTAGGGCGCCAGCACCCTGATTAGTTCATAATAAAACCTGATTTCCTTCACACCAATTCTCACTTCCAAATATTGGCAGTCATATGGCTGGAAGAACCAAACTTTGTACTGCAACACCATGATCAAGATGAGGTAGGATCGAAGAAATAAAAAATAAGCAGAAAAGAGACAAGGAAATTGGGATTTTAAAATTGTACTTTTATGGGTTTTTTAAAAATACAATGGAGTATTACTCAGCCATAAAAAGGGTAAAGGAAACATTTATAACTAAATGAGTGGACCTTGAGACCATACTCTTAAGTGAAATAAATTAGACACCCATGTGTAAATATCACATTGTCTCTCTGGTGTGAGAAATGGAAAGTGTAAATAAGAACCAAAATGTATAATAGAAATTGTGAAATAGGAAAAAATTGTTCAAAAAGAAAGGAAAACTGGGAGAGGGAGGAAGGGAAAAGAAAAAAATAAAAGGATAAAATAGAAGCAAAGCTTTGTAAAAGAGGGGAACAGGCAAAAAGAAATAAAGATATATCATGTACAGGTACAAATTCCCTGATGAATGTGATCATTATGTAAATCTAAATTGTACCAATAAACTTAATGTAAAAATTTGGTACAACTACTTTTTAAGAGAAACTGCAACTTCAGGACACAAAAGATACTCAAGGCCTTTTCCCTTCCAGGAAACTCCCTCAAAAAATTTCCTAAAGGGGGCTGGGGATTTAGCTCAGCGGCAAAAGCGCCTGCCTGGCATGCGCAAGGTCGTGAGTTCCGTTCCCGGTACCGGAGAAAAACCAAAAAAAAAAAAATAATAATAATAATAATAATAATAATAAAATTTCCTAAAGGTCCTTAAAACATAGTAAGCCTGTAAATTGGGCTTTGGGCCTGTCATTTTCACCTATAAATTGTGCTTCCTCTCAAGGAAGCAGCAATATTAGTGGGCAGCACATCTCAACTTTAAACACGTGAATGGTTTGCATTCTGACGGCGGGAAAACACATCTTAAATCACCCATTTTGAAAATGCCCCCAAGACCCCAGCTCCAGCTCTTCTTTCTCTCTTCCTTTCCTCCCTCTCCCCCACTCTCTCCCCTAAGATCTATTACTTTCACTTTCTTCCTCTGCCTCTTATCGATGCTTCCTGAAAATTCTTTTTCTGTAGCAGGAGTCATCAAGCCTCCAAACAGATGAGGGTTACGTTCCTCATCTCAGCTTTGGAAATCTCAGACCTAGTCACATGACAATATCAGCATAGTGTTTTATGACTAACTTTCCACTTAAAATGTATCATGAACCCTTTTTGGTCAATGTTATTATAAGTTTTATTTTATTTTGCAAACTAAAGATTGAACTCTATACCTTTCAACTGAGCTACATCCACAGTGAACCCGTACCTTTATTATTTTGAAACAGGGTCTTGTTAAGTCACCAAATTGTCCAGGCTAGGCTGGAAATTGTGATCCTCCTCCCTCAGTCTCCCAGAGCACTGGAACCTTATTTCCCCCCAAATAAGACCTACCCAGAGAATAATCTTCAACTGTAATTAATAGCTGGTTGTACCATGGAGATGACCAGTGTCCTGCAGATTATAACTCATTATGCCCTTGCTCAGTGGCTACTCTGTAATGGCAGGTAAGGTCAGGATAAGCTGATTGGTCCTGGTATTTTTGATCTCTAGTTAGGTCTTATTGTGGAGGAAACACAAGATTATAGTCCTGCACCACCATTATCAGATTTGTGGGTTCAGTATACTCTTTCCAGGTCCTTAGTGTTCTGAGCAAAGAATTGGACAAGACACACAGAAAGGTAGCAAGGGTTTACGTTTATTAAAGGTAAGAAAAAGTGTCCTCTGCAGAGCAAGTGGGCCACTGACAGAGTTCATCCTCATTCTTCAGGCCAATGTCAGCTCTAGGCTGACCTACCAAAAACCTGCTTGATTTTGTTATAGTGTAATTTGTTAGTTGCCCAGGTAATTGTTCCTGTTCCAGAGTTAAAAATGAAACCAGTGCTCTCTCCATCTCAAAAGAAAAAAAAAAAAAAA